GCTGCTAACTTCAAGGTCAGCAGTTTGAAACTATCAGTCGTTCTATGGGAGAAAGATGAGGCATCCTGCTCCCGTAAAGATGTATAGCCTTGGACACCACTATGACTTGGAACCGGCTCCACGGCACATAACCACCACCACCACCACCGTGGAGACCTTACGCCTATTCTCCTGCCGCTCACAGCTGACTGTTGGCTGGATGTTGTGAAGAGTGTTGTTCATAGCACTGTACAGTTTACACACCCTGGAACTGTCACAGCAATCCACGAATCAGACAGGGTTTCCCTTGCTGTAAACACCTGGGGTAAGAACAAAATGGTTTTTGTCTTAACCAATCCATTGAGGGCACCAAACAAAAACACCCCAACACTCAGAAGAGTGTCTCCCTACCATTTCTTCTTACAAACAAATTGCTTTCATAATGTGGGAGAAAAACTGAGGTTTTCTGCTCCTGTAGAGAAATACAGCCCGGGGAAGCCCTCTACAAGGTCACTTTGAGTCGGAATAGATGCTATGGCAGTGGGAACAGGGGATGGGGTGAGCCACTATCATTAATACAAACAAACAAGCCTCCAGACAAAATTCATACACACATAGAGTTGTGCCATTCAAACATATTCACATTACAGCTTGAGAGAAATGTCAATTTTGGAAACTTCTCAAGGCGCTCTGTTGTCATCAAAAATCAAGCCTACAGCCAGTAGGTCAAATCTGACTCATAGCAGCCTCTAAGATACAGCAGAGCTGCTCCACAGGGAATCCAAGGCTGCATGTACATGTTTACATGAGCAGACTGACACACGTTTCTCCCAACGAACAGCTGGTGGGTTCTAAGCGCTCACCTTCTGTTTAGCTGCTAAGCGTGATCCTCGTAGCATTGTTAATCCTAACCGCACCCACTGCTGTTGAGTTGACTCTGAGTCATAATGATTCTCCAGGACAACAGCCTCAGGGTTCTCCCTCAGAGCAACTGGTGGGATTGAACTAACACTCTTTCAGTTAGCTGCCCAGCTTAATTTAAACTCCTCAGCACCAGGGCTCCATGGCCATCAAAGAAGCTGTTTCGTTTTGTTTGACAACTCTTACTCTCAGGGAGGGAGTGAGCTCCAAAGATTGTGGTACACCCTGTTCAGGTACCACCTTCAGTCCTGCTAATTCAGGGGCGGGTCAGAGAAAAAGAAGAAGAGCCCCAGCGAGATGGATTGGCAAGTGGCAGCATCAATGGGCTCAAGCATGGCAAAAATTGTGAGGTTGGCCCAGGATTGGGTAGTGTTTCGTTCTGTTGTGCATGTTGTTGTTGTTAAGTGCCGTCGAGTCGGTTCCGACCCATAGCGACCCTGTACAGGGTTTCCGAGGGTGTAAATCTTTACGGGAGTAGAAAGCCTCATCTTTCTCCCGCGGAGCGCGCTGGTAGTTTCGAACCGCTGACCTTAAGGTTCGCAGCCCGATTCGTAACCACTACGCTACCAGAGCTCCTCTGTTGTGCATAGGGTTACTAAAAGTCGGTATCGACTCAATGGCACCTAACAACAAAAACAACTCAGGGTAGGTCATGTCCCCCCAGCCACGTGGAAAGCCCTACCTGAAGCTTGGTTTAGTGACACAGAACGCTGGCTTCAAGCACACACTTCCCTCTTGAAGAGATGAAATGAAAACTCAACAGCAGGAATGAGGCCATCGGTGGCAGAATCCTTGTCCTCCATGCAGGAGACCTGGGTTCAAGTCTCAGACAATATAGCTCAGGCGCAGCCACCACCTGACTGTCTGTCTGTCTGTCTGTCTGTCTGTCTGTGTGTGTGTGTGTCGGTGGAGTTCTGTGTGTTGCTATGACATTGAGCAGGTTTCAGTGATGCTTCTAGACTAAGAAGAACTAGGAAGAAAGACCCTGGCAATCTCCTTCTGAAAGCCAGTCACCGACAACTGTATGGATCATAGCAGTCCAGTTTCCAGTGGATCATAGGGATGCCACAGGACTGGGAAGGGTTTCATTTGATTCTGTTAAAATCGTTTACCTTCTCCAACCACAATAAAACAACAGATATACAATGTTGGGTTTTCCCCCTCATGTGACATTACATTTCTGAGTTCTTCTAAGCTTTTGTTGATTCTTTCAGTGAAATAACTTAATAACTACATGTTCTGTCCTTTTGACCTTTGTCAACAATGACTTATCTGAAAATTCCATTCCCAAGGATAAATTTCTTGACTTTCTGAACACCTAACATGTCTATGTAGCTTTCTCTTTCCAAAATTGAATTCTTAAGAGTCTCCATTTCTGCAGAAAAATAAGCAAAGGCCCTAGGGTTTAGGAAAGTGCCCTCAGACAAAGATTGGCATGCCTTCACCTCACAGATGCCTCCTTTTGAGCTTATATTCTCCTGTTAAGAGTTAACCTGACCGTTTCCCAACCAATAAGGTGGCTGCTTACTTTTGCCCTTTCTGAAATCCTATTTCTTTGGGTTGACTCTACAGGAAGACTTCCCAAGACTATAGGTTGGTAACACCATTTTTTCAGAAATAGCCAATCAGTTTCATCAAATATTACAAGATTTTTAAAGTGAGTCATGACTAGGTGGTCTTGGGCCCTCTGGAATGTGGTTGGAGCTTCATGTTCTCTGAACAACAGCTGGGAAAACCTGAGAACGACTCAAGGAAATTCTAGAGAACTACTCTGCGTTCCAGTTTGGACTATGGCCAAGCCCACCCTCACCTCTTCCTCTCTCCAGATTCAATTGAATTGTTTGAGAGTTCTTCACAGACCTCAGTTGACACCGAAGTTGAGTTTGCTAATCCAGGGCCAACTGGACCATATCTCAGTTCCTCAACCATATAGATCTCCTCCCAATATTAACATAAAATTTGACAACAGTCATAAAAATTACTTGAAAAATGCACAACTGATTTTCAAAGTGAGATGGGCCCTTCACCTCCAAGAGGATGATATTCTTGACCCATCAATTGTGAGAGGTACAATGATGAAGTTTGGAAAATCAGATACACTGAGGACTAGATATTGTCTCCAAGCACAAACCAGTAACAAGTATGTGGGGTTTTTGTAAATTCAAGTAACATTAAATCTCTGAGTTCTTTATTAATGATTTTGTGTGTGTACTTTTACTGAAATAACTCAATGGCTGCATGTTATTTGCTTCCGATCTCCTGACACTGATTGTGAAAGGTATTCCTTTTCAGCTTTTTTTTTGATCTATGATTTTTTCCCTTCATATAGTCACTCAGTAACAGCATAAAATATATAAATGCTAGGTACCATGCTAAGGACTTTATACAAATCTTTCATCTTTTCTATAGCCCTATGAGCTATGGGTCGGACCCGACTCGATGGCACTTAACAACAACAACAACAACAACAATGAGATATGAGTCCTGGGGTGGCGCTGTGGGCTAATGAGTCAGACTGCAAAGTCATCTGAACTGAAAAGTTACTGGTTCAAGCTCACCAGCTGCTCCTTGGAAACCTTATACAGGGTCGCTATGGGTCGGAATCGACTCAACGGCACTTAACAACAACAACAACCAATGAGATAAGTGGAGTCCTGGTGTGGTGCTGTCGGATTAGCACTGGACTGCGATCCACAAGGTTGGTGGTTCAAACACACCAGCTGCTCCTCAGAAACCCTGTACAGGGTCATAATGAGCTATTGGCACTTAACAGCAACATGAGCTAAGTAATATGATCATTCTCATTTTGTGAGCCAAAATGTTAGTAAACAACCTTTCTAGTAATTAGACTCCATAGCTTTTCTGATCAATTACTATGCTGCGCACCTTCTTCATTCATTACCAGCCTTGGGTAAGTTTTAGAGAATTACCTATGGGAAGGACAATCTTCAATTGAACAGTAGCCAGGAGAGTTGATTATAAACTTCAGTGGTACACTATCACACAAAAACATTACAGAAAACAGGGTTCTCAGAGAAGGTCTTTATATGTGGAATTTCACATCTAGAAATTCCTGGTGGAGTCATCTATTGTAAAGGCATTCTCTCTAAATAGTACCCTAACCAAACCTACTACCATTGAATCAATTCCGACTCATAGTAACAGCAACCCTGTGTAGGATTTCCAATGTTGTGAATCTTCACAGAAGCAGAAAGTCTCATCTTTCTCCCGTGAAGTGACTGCTGGGAATGAGCTTCCTAGGACCGAGGGAAGTCCAATGTTAAAGCATTCAATCCAGTTATGAAAGTCAAGGGAGATAGAGGTTTCGTAACAGTGTCTAAATCAAGATCAAGCAGAAATCCCAGCATGGAGGTACAGTTGGTTCTAAGAACGAAAGCTTTACCTTGGTCAAGTAAGGGCAGTGATGGTCATGCAGATCCTGGATCTTTTTTCAGGAGAATTTCATCATTTCCTTTTACTTTTGGTTGCATTCCTGTCTTCTGCCAACCCTCTATCTCTCATGCTTCCTCAAGGAGTTGGTTTCTGGAGACCCAGAAGCTCCTTAGCATGCTTCCCCATAAAGGAAAAGACCCAAACTTGTCTTCCCTAGATGGACATCATGTTTGATAAAGTGGAGGGTCAGAGAAAAAAAGGAAGACCCACAATGAAAATGATTGGCACAGTGGCAGTACCAATGGGCTGAGGCATAACAGCGATTGTGAGGTTGACCCAAGACTGGGTAGTGTTCCATTCTGCTGTGCTTAGGGTCGCTATGAGTCGGTACCAATGTGATGGCACCTAACAACAACAAAGTCTTCACTGGTGTGACAGTGAAAGTTGTGAGCCCCCTTGGCTGGGTTAGATCTGCAGTGGTTTGATAGTTACCATGCAGTCACTGCCAAGACAGATACTACAATATAAGCAGTTCCATGATGAGATCTGCTGTGAGCAGCCTTTCAGCTGTGTTTCCTCGGGAGTGTGGTCTGTTTACAATCCATGTGGATCCTCTGGTAAAGCTTGCTTGTTTCTTGCTGGGGCTGGATTCCCCATCTGGCTTGTCCTCTGACTTCCAGTTCGTTGAACTTGAGCTAACAACTTACCTGATGACCTTGGGTTTATTCGCCTCTGCAGCCAGCAGCCTGCTGATCTTGGGTTCCTCAGTCTCTTCAGCAATGTGAGACAGGAGAGGCCTCCAACCTGACATGTGACTCACAGACTTGGGACTTAAGAGTTTCTACAACTGTGTGAGCCCCTTCCTGTAGCTAAACCTCTCTGTACATACATAGGAGTTCTGCTGTGGCACTATAGGATAAGCACTAGACTACATGGTTGGTTTGAACCACAAGCTCCATGAGGATCCCTGGAAACCCTATACAAGGTCACTATGAGTCAGAACCTTCTTGATGGCATTTAACAACAACAACAACAACAACATATACACATCTAAAAGCGTTGAAGAGCAAAGATGTCAGCTTGAGGACTAAGGTGCACCTGACACAAGCCATGGTATTTTCAATGACCTCACATGCATGCGAAAGCTGGACCTTGAATAAGGAAGACTGTAGAAGACTTGATGCTTTTGAATTATGGTGTTGGATGAGACTATTGAAAGTACCATGGGTTGCCCATAGAACCGACAAATCTATGTTGGAAGAAGTACAGCTTGAGTGCTCCTTAGAGGCCAACATGGCCAAACTTCATCTGTCTCTCATACTTGGGACATGTTGTCAAAAGAGACCAGTTGCTGGAGAAGGATATCATGATTGGTAAGGTGGAGGGTTGAAGAAAAAGAGGAAGACCTCCAGTGAGATGGATTGGCAAAGTGGCAGTATCAATAGGCTCAAGCATGGCAACAATTGTGAGGTTGGCCCAGGATCAGGTAGTGTTTTGTTCTGTTGCGCATAAGGCCACTATGAGTTGGTACCAACTCAATGGCACTTAACAGCAACAACATATGTTTAGTATGTTATATATAACAACATGTATAAACCTTACTGTTTTTGTTTATCTAGAGAAACCAGCCTAAGATCTGTAGGAATGATTCTGCCATTGTGGAAACTAATAAAAGATGCAAGAAATTCAAACTCACTGTCATCAAGTTGATTCTGACTCATAACAACCCTGTATAGGATTTCCAAAGCTATAAATATTTATGGGAAGGAGCTCTGGTAGCGTAGTGGTTACGAATCAGGCTGTGAACTTTAAGGTCAGCAGTTGGAAACTACCAGCTGCTCCATGGGAGAAAGATGAGGCTTTCTGCTCCCGTAAAGATTTACAGCCTCGGAAACCCTGTACAGGGTCGCTATAGTTCAGAACCGAGTCAACGGCACTTAACAACAACAACAAATATTTATGGGAGTCCTGGTGTGGTGCTATAAGATCATCACTGGACTGTCAGCCTACACGGCCAGTCGTTCAAACCCACCAGCCACTCCTCAAAAATCCTATACAGGAGAGAACAAACAAGATGGTGGATTGAGTGGATGTGCAGTGAGGAGCTCCGTCAGCAACAACACAGAGTACTGGACCAAGCAGGCTCAGGGGATGGTCCCAGAACTCTGAATCACATATAAAGGAATATTTAGAAGGTTGGAAGGCTTATAGCTAGTGGAATTAGTAGCAGAAGCAAGAAATTCAGTGCTTTCTAATCCAAGGCACTCAGCTGCTCCCTGAGCCACTATCTTGGGTGAGACCAAGGAGGGGAAGGGTCAGAGCAGCCACGGGCACCTGACAGAACATCGGAGATAAAGGTGTGGATGCTCTTTTTTTTTTTTTTTTTTTGTATTTGTTCATTGGTCTCTTGCTGTCTGCATACCTCCATTCTGATGACTAGAGGGGGTGCCTGAGAGAGTGGACACCCCACCCCAATCCCTGGAGGATTCTACTATGCATGTGCACAGATCTCCTAAAAATTTAAAGGGACAGTTTCCACTTAAAACCAAATGGCAGTGCAAAACAACCACAGCTGGCCCTGAACTGTTTATCACTAGGAAAAAGGCCTGAACGGGGGTTGTGGAGCAGGACAGGCAGACTGAAAAGGAAACAGGCTTAAAATTAAATCCTGAGTTACTTCATAATGACCAGCAGTGGCATCTTGACATTTTTCAGGAAGAAGAGTGAAAAGGGAGGCCCATCTCCTGATCACATCTATCTGGAGGCAATCAGAAAACATAAAAAATACCAAAACACATACCCATCTAAGTTTTAAGGCCACAGATAAGCACTGAATATGCCCAAAAAGCAGAAACAGATGACCATATCAGCACATGTCCAAAAACAGGATAAAATGACCGAGGCAAATGATCTGGAGGTAGACCTACACTCCATACTGGAAGGAAGGCAGGTTTTGGAAATGGTTGAGAAGGAATTCAGAAAAAATCCTTATAAAATGTATCAAGACACTTTACAATGGAGTTGAGAAAAATAAGGAAGAAGTCTGGAAAGTGCTACAGGAGCAATAAAATAAGATAGATACAAGATTGGAAACAATTAAAAACCTACAGAATGAGATCCAAATGATTAATAATAGAATATCAGAAATGGATAATACACTGAAAGGGCAAAGGAGTAGAATTAAAGAGATGGAAGCCAGAACTAGTGAGCTGGAAGATAAATCTCTCAATACCACTAAGATAGAAGAACAAACAAAAAAAGGATTTAAAAAATCTGAAGACGGTCTAAGATTCATGTTGGACAGCATGACGAGGAATAACTTAAGAATTATCGGCATTCCAGAACAGGAAGAATCACACAAATCCACAAAAGAGATAGTTGAAGAACTTCTGGAAGAAATTTTCCCTAACATCCTGAAAAGTGAAAAGATAAGCATTCAAGAAGCTCTATGAAACCCAGGAAGGATAGATCCTAAAAGAAAAACACCAACACATATAATAATCAAGCTCTCCAAAATCAAAGATAAGAACAGAATCCTGAAGGAAGCTGAGGAAAACAGAAGTATAACATACAAGGGTAAGAAAATCAGACTAAGCTCGGATTTCTCAACAGAAACCATGCAGGTAAGAAGGTAATGGGGAGATATAAATAAAACGCTGAAAGAAAAAAAAAACTGCCGACCAAGAATCCTCTATCCAGCAAAGCTGTCAATCAAATACGACAGTGTAATCAAAACATTTCAGGATAAACAGGAGCTAAGGGATTTTGCCAAAGCCAACCCTGCAATGAAAAACATGAACAGACAACCAACAAGAACAGAAACAACCAGAGATTAACGTACGTGACAGCATCAGCCAAAAGTCAACCCACAAATGGAAGAGTCGAGAACAGAATAAAACTATAAGAACAAATTCAGAGGATCTGGGAGGTCAGTCTATGATAGAAACAATTACAATGTGAAAGAAGGTAAACACAGAGGAACAGGGATCTAGGTGATAGGAAGGTCAGGTAAATTACAGGATAAAACAGACTGTCTTAAATGGAGGGAAAAGCTAAAGAAATATAAGGTAACCACAACAGTGGGACTAGGGTAGGGTTTGGGGGGAGGTGGAGGGAGGCAATGGTAGAGCACAGGGTAAAGGCAGACGCAGGGGTGTTGGGGATGGTAATATAAGAAGGGCAACGAAGAGGAAGAACAAGTTAGATAGGGAACCACTGAGACAGGTTTGCATGGGCTAAGTGGGACAGAGGTAAATAGTGATGTATGCTTAACCTTGAAACAACAGGGCTCTGTGATACAGGGATCTAGGCATAGTTTGAAGAGGGAAATAATACTAAGATGCTTGTCAGTCTTACAAATATTGGTTTCCCTTGCCTACTATTATAAAATAGACACTTGAGTGGGATAGAAAGGAATGTTGGGAAACATGATTACAGAAAACTTGTAAGCCCATCTTCAGCCTATAACTGATTGGAATAACTAAAAGGGGTTCTAGAAGTTGCCCAGTAAAACAGGCCTCTTGTGGAGACTTTGCAGGGTATAGGACATTAGGTGGAATCCTGACTGCCATCCAGAACCTTCTGAGGTGGGACATTCCCACTAGAAAGGACAAGAAGACTAGCCTGGAACAGCTAGAGGGACAGAAGATGCATCTTCAAAGAAAGATCATCAGGAAAATCCCAAAGCAAAATGTCAGTATGATTGGCTACTTCAAGAATAAGCAAGCTGTTCTCTGAAAAGTCATCAAGGCCAGCAATCAAATTCCTTCAGGACAAACCCCCCTCTAAGACTGAAACTCAAAGGGAACACATAAGCAGGCATGTAAGCTTGCTGGTGAGTACATTGGTCTACTGGTGAGTGGAAGAGGGGGGAAGGCAGCAATGAAGTAATGAGTTGAGTTCAACCACGGTCCATTGACTCCCGTTGACCTGGAGATGAGAGAGAGAAGAGGAAGGGCTGCTGGTCCAACATGTAGTGAGACCTGGGGACACCTGAGCCCATGGATAAAGACAAAGCCACAGAGGGCTAGAGCTGAGAGTGAAGAATCCAGCTGATATGAAGTGAGGGGAGATGCACAAGAACACCCAAACTTGCAGATAGTACCCATTTGACCTAGCCTCGATGGCTTCATAAGGAGCTCTGGTAGCGTAGTGGCTATGAATCAGGCTGTGAACCGCAAGGTCAGCAGTTCGAAACTACCAGCTGTTCCATGGGGGAAAGATGAGGCTTGCTGCTCCCGTGAAGATTTACAGCCTTGGAAACTCTGTACAGGGTCGCTATGAGTCGGAAGCAGCTCCATGGCACATAACCACCACCATGGCTTCATAATCAAAACTCGACTAGAGGAAGATTAATTTTTTTTTAATTTTTGATAAAAGAAACAAGGGTAAATTGCTACAATTTTATGAACTTGACCTATACTCATGGAAGTAGTTACTCTAAATACCAACAGAAAGGGAAGGAGTCTTCACATCAAGTATCAGTGCTATCCCCTCTGTACATAGGGTAGATAGGGACAGGCAACTTAGACATTGGCTACCTAAAATGAGGGGGCAATAAAGGCACAAAGTGACTGGCTTACAGGTTTGAAGAGGGAGTGTAGTTTAAGAGAATGGGGAAGAGAAGAAATAGTGTTCATCTTGTCTAAATGGATCTGGTTAAAAGAGATGGGGATAAGATTCCTATGATTCAGTAGTGAGTAATTATTATCATGACTAATTGCTACTGTCACAATTGTAAAGGGAGAATTTTGTAACAAAAACAAGGGAGTAGTTAATCTTACAGTATAGAAACAGATGACCCTAGGACCA